TAAAAAGTTACCCTGGCTTTACATGATGCAACTCTTCCATGTAGACACAGCACACCGTAGCGTTCTGACTCAGCAGTGTGAACCGCAGTAATATTTTTGGATATTTTGTGAAATGGCAACAATAATATTGATATAATAGGTGCATGTATCCAGGACTGGGGATATAGCTCTGTAACAGAGTGCTTGTCAAACATGCCCAAGATCACAGGTTTACTCCCCGTACAAATTAGAATACAATTAATGCTGGATTAGCAAATATACTATTATTTTGAAAATTAGGTAAGTTAATATACTAAAAGTTCTTGGGTTCAGTGCCTGATAGTGAAAACTTTGTCAGTCTTATTCTTAATATTATACTCATATGTTCTTTACATATGATTCTGAAATATTCAGATCTATAATTCTTTGAAAAAGAATTTCCCCCAGAGACAATGTCTGATTATGCTGCACACGTTGTAAATTCTGGAATTGAAATCCTTTTGTCTTACCTGTGGCATAGCCAGGACTACAGGAGTGTAACTACACTGAGTTCATGCACATACTTCTTTGATCAGATTTCTGATTATTTCTTTCTGTGATTACTGAGAAAAAAGAATGGGATTATATTCACTATGGTCAGCATTTTCAAAACTTCTCTAGCGATGACCGTTAATAGTCCCCTTCATTAGTATACCAAGGAAATTTCTTTAGTGGGCATTTTTAAATTCTAATAAATGTTACTTGGTAAATTATGAACCTAACTGGAGCGTATGTATAAATGGGGTGTCTTTAGAGCCATTAGCAAAGATAAGATAGGAAAATGAAGCCATGCGTGTCTGTCTGTTTCCAGTGGGGACACAAGAAGACACTGGGCTGGCTGGGAAGATCTTGCCACCCCTGGCCTCCTGAAATCCTGGAGAACATTCTAGCCTTCAAATTCCTTTCTAAACACCTGCTGCAAATCCCTCACTTTGCATTGCTATTGGACTTTCAGATCCCTCCATAGCATTGACCTTTCTAGCTAAGGATGTGACTTTTGACTAACCTTTGGCCTGGGTCAGCAGTTAAGCTGACCATTATCCCCAACCCCTTTCATCCTTTGCCTTTTTACGGACAATGCTAGACGTGCATAACTTAATACTTATTTTGGCCATTTCAAGCCATTTTTAGGTGATAAGATTCACAAGGCAGGTGCTTTAAAGGGGTATTCTTGGATGGTAATTATGGGGACCTTTAAAGAGAACATTAGACTGGGTGTGTCAGAGAAAAAAAGAAGAAAAAAAAAAACAGTCTGTCCAGCTTCATTTTAATGTCTTGTCGTTCCCCTCCCCACCCAGGGGAAGCCAACCGTATTCTTGACATGGATAGTCTTGGAATCATTTTCATGTTTTAGAAGTAGGGGCCAGTTGCAGGGCTATGGTGAAGAGGAAACATCAGAACCCATCCCTGTACTCAAGTGGATTTTAGCTGTTCAGAAAGAACAGGATATATACAGGTGTCTATAATACAAGGCAAAGGGAAAGAGGGTTGTGAGTCAGATGAGGGAGATGAGGAAACAGCGAAAGGATGGAATAGAACAGAACTCTAGGACTCTATGTAAGAGTAGGCAACCAGGGGCTCAAACCTGCAATCCCAGCCCTGGGGAGGCTGAAGAAGGAGGATGGCCAGGAGGTTGAGGTCAGCCTGAACTCCAGAGTGAGACCCTGTCTCAAAAAGGAATGAGGGCAACGAATGGAAGGTGGAAGGGAGTTACACAGTAAGACCAACTGGGACGGATTTATTGTCTGAGATTTGAAACAGACGAAGAACCGAGTAGAAGGAATGAGAATGGAACGAACATTTGAAATCACAAGACTAAAGAAGGGGGAGAAATGGGTCATTGAGCGAAGCCATTTTATTGGCCCATGCAACACCAGTAGGGTTTGTGGAAGGAAGAAAAGGTATGATGGGCCAGGTTTGCAGGTAGGTGGCCTTGCTTGTGCGTGCAGTGTCTGTCTGTATGGTAGATGATACACTGAGGGTTTGGCAGCCAGGGAAGTGATCTGACCACAGCTGCTATTTGAAGACAATTAGGAAGCCATATGAGTCAGGTGTTGTGGTTCCTGCCTGTAATCCCAGCCTAAGAGAGGCTGACACAGAAGGACCATCAGCTCAAGAGCTCCAGGGTCTTATGTGGTAAAACTGTCTACAAAGGGGAAAAAAGAAAAGGAAAGAGAGGAGAAAGAAGAAAGCGCTCTGCTGTGAGGACATGGGGGAGAGGGGAGAGATATCCGGCGATGCTAATTTCTTTCTAAACTAAGGATAATGAGTGTGGCAAGGGTTTTGTTCCATGTCAGGACAGTGACCATGTATGAAAGTACACCTAAAAATAAAAGGACAACTATTTTCTTAAATAATTTATTTGTAATAAGTTAACAGTTAAATAGCAAGTTATGATCAATGGTTACGAACTCACAATACACATCAACAGATAAAATCTTTGGTTGACACAGCTACTCACATTCTACAGAACATAATAGTTTCATATCACAAGAAAGCATATGAAGATCACTAAATGTTTTTGGGAAAAGGTTAACAAAATGATAAGGTGCTTGTTCATTTTCAATGCCAAATACATGATCAGTGTTATGGGCAGGCTAGAGAGAGGGTCAGGGGACTGGTATCTGTGTCGTAGGTTTATGCTGATGGCCCATGAGACAGACCTGTCTCTTCTCTGTGACAAGGAGTAACGCAGTCTATACAAAGCAAAGTCCTGCCTGAATGTGGTTTCTAAACATTTCCATTACTGTCCAAAGCAGACCAAATGTTCATTTGAGTTCAAAGAACAGAGAAACATAGTTAGAAAATTTGGTTTAACTCTCTGTTAGACTCAAATGGCCCCTAAACAGAGGTAACATTCAGTGGACTGTAACACATTTAAATTATGAAGTCTTATTGCTAGGACCACCAAAGAAAACCGTACAAGGAGTTTTCAATTAGCTTCCAGTCTAACATATCATGACTACTAGGTTTGGAACCACATGTGATTATAGTTGTTTATTGTTTGTTTGTTTTTGTTTTTGACAGTCCTGCTTATTTAATTCAACTTGATATAGCATATTAAAACAAAACAAAACAAGAAAAAAAAAAAAAAAAGCCAGGCGTTGGTGGTGCAAACCTTTCATCCCAGCACTTGGGAGGCAGAGGCAGATGGATCGCTGTGAGTTCAGGGCCAGCCTGGTCTACAGAGCCAAGTTCCAGGACAGGCTCCAAAGCTACACTAAGAAGCCCTGTCTCAAAAAAAAAAAAAGAAAGAAAGAAAATTAAAGAATTAAAGCTGAATAAATACTTTAAGGAGTACGTTCCATATAATAACATTGTAAAGGTTGGTTCATCCGTGAAAGGCTTCCTCTAGGTGTCTTACTGTAATAATAACCCAACCTCCTCACTCCTTACTTCTTTTTGAGGTCCCTGTAGCATTTCAGTGGGCAGCCTTCTTTGAACACACACAAAATCTCCAGCACTCAGAAAGGGAGTGCATGCATGCATGCAGTGTAGAGCACAAAAGTTTTGCTTTTAGGAGCAGTGGTCTTCTGCTTTTTTCATATTTGAAGAAGGTAAGTAAAAATAAAGCCACTGTCAAATGTACTTTATTTAATGCCAGATGAGAGGGCAGTATTACTTCATTGACAACTACCACAAAAACTTGGAAACATCCTCCTGCCTGGTAATTCGGAGATAAGCTTGAGTCTCCCCAAGGTGGTGACAAATGGCATACACATCTGGGGTGGAAGGAAGGGCTCCACCAGCCTCTGTGGCTGCCTATCTCTATACTGTTTCTGCAGGGAAATTAATCAAGTGCAAAGGACATAGAGGGAAACCTATTGTGCTACAAATGCATCGGCTAAAGCAACCTTAATGATGTAGTTACTTATACATAGAATAACTTCTACAGAGACAAGATGTTTAAATTCCTGTATTGTGTAGACACTGGGAATTCATAACCATAATCCATAGATTTCCCACCTGTGATTCAGGAGATCATAAAGCCAAAAGAACTCTGGGAAATAAGATGTCCTCAAGATAGACATCTGCATTTGGGATTCATCTTTGAATCCAAGTCCACAAGGACCAGAATGGTGTGTGGTGGTGACTGGAGCATCCAGACTGTTCTGCTGATTTACTGGGTGCTGCCCTGCCCCTTGCTTACGACCAGGCTAATGCTCCCTGGGAGGCAGGAAGGTGGAGTTAAATGCACTAGTTCATTAGCATCTGTCTGGTCCTTTACTTCTATTGTTTGCTCTCAACAAACTATAAAAGGGCAACATTGGGGTTTTCGTGATTATTGAATTGTATAGGACCTAAGTCAGCAGGAACTTGGGCTGAATTAAACGTTTTAGGGCCCAGTGTGTCAAACTAAGTAGTTTGCTCACTTACTTTAGCTAATTTTTATAAAGAAACTATGAAATCTCCTAAATCATCAAGATTTTTCCTCAAATGAATGAAATCCACTATTTGGTTTCAGAGGCTCAACTGAAGTAGAATAGCATGATTCTGTAGAGGCCTAAGGACATGGAACCTTCCCTCATACGGAATCCAGAATCTTCCCAACTCTGCTTGAAATGGACATTGCTCCAGAGATGGCCCCACACCTCTGCCAGGCTGGTTTGCACAGAGGCTACCTTTTCATTTATAAGTTTTAAGATGTCTTGTATTTACCCTCAATCAAACATGCCTCCTTTTTCAAAGCAAACTTTTAAATATTTTCAGAGGGCAAAAGCTTTGCTCATCCATCTGAAACCCAGTATAAAGAAATCCTCATTACTGAAACAAGACAGCAGTTTTAAATGTATGCTTGTTTTCCTCCCCCGCCCTCCCAGTGGATTCCTGCAGATAGCAGCAAGCCATTCTGCCTGAAGTTCTGGGGTAATGAGGCCAGAGCAACATTGCTCAAGTCTCCTTGCAGCTCTCCGCTTCTGACCCAATCACTTCCTGCGTCATACCTCTCCACAGCATGAAACCACAGGACTCTCCTACTAGTACTACCCTGGGGGCTGACAGTCACAGTCACCCTAGGGAGCCTCGTGGCTTGGGCCAGGGGAAGAAACTTCATAGTCATTGAGTAGAGTCCTTTCGTCCACATCTGGCAGGTGGGGGGGCCCTTGGGGAAAGAGCCCCAGAAGGTTTCCCTGAGCAGCTACTCCTGTTTGCTGTAGGCTTTGCTCTCCCAAGACCTTGACCAAGAAGTTGATGTACCTCATTGCCAAGCGGAGCGTTTCATTTTTGCTCAGCTTCTTGTCTGGAGGATGAGTAGGGATGAGCTTCCTCAGTTTGGCAAAGGCGCTGTTGACACTCTGCTGCCTCCAGCGCTCCCTGGTATTGGTGAAGATCTTTCTGGTCATGTCCGGGTTCCTAAGATGGGAGAGAAAAAGGGCTGTGGTGGCCAAGGCCTTGTAAGAGGCCCAGTTACAATCACATGTTCTGCCAAGAGCCTGCAGTGTTAGATCTTCTCAACTCAGACTTTCGGAAAAATCTGTCTTGAGTTTTTTTTTTTTTTTTTGTTTGTTTTTTTTTTTTTTTTTTTTTTTTTTTTTTAGAAATGCCTTTATTAAGAAGAAAAATGATGGCAGAAGAAAGTGCAAAAGAACAGCCCCGGTAGCCTTTTGTCCCCAATTGTTCGGAAGGCACTGTTATAAAACTGCATTTAGTCCCTCCTCCCCTGCTGCCCCCACCTCCCCTTTTGAGGCTGGATCTCATATATTCCAGGCTGGCCTCAAACTTATTATGCAGCCAAGGATGACCTTGAACTTCTGATCCTCTTACCTTCACCTCCTGAATGCTAGGATTACAGGCTTGTGCTACCATTTTTGGTTTAAGCATGCTGGGAATTGAACCTAGGGCTTTATGCTTGCCATGTAGCACTAAGTGACATCTCTAACCCCACTACTTCCTTTATATTCTTCTCAGTTGATCAAAATCACCTGCAGTATGGATTTCAGCAAATATGTGAACAAAGTACATATTTAGCCCAGGAAGTGTTGGGTGTGAACGTGCAGTGTGTCACAAACTTTTAAGAGAGAAAAGGCTGCACCCCCAGTTTTCATAGACAAAATGACATTTGAATTGGAGAAAATGGAAATCGTTTTAGCTGACCTTAGCTGGAGGATTGGGCTCCAATCTCCAATAGCTAGAATGTTCACACAGTAGCTCATTTGGAAGACTGTGAGCAGGGTGACAAAGGGCTGTGACACCCAGATTTAGGAAAACAGACAAGGGGGGGGGTTAGCCTTGTAAGAATGAAAAGAACAGGGGCTAGTGCTCTGTGGCTTGGATCCACAGCAGACACCCAGACTTCCTGGCATTCCCATAGCTAGCCTTTTCCACATTAGCAAAGCTGTCATGAAATACGGAGAAATCTCATTTTGTCATCTTTAACTCTCAGAGGCACAGTCCCCCATTTTCCCCAGGTGGTCTGGATTTTAATGGAAACCTTCATGATACATTGGCAAATAAGCAAAAGCCCAGCCCTAGACAGCCTAATGTTCACAGCTCACTGCTGTCACTTGCTGCGTGGTCCAGCCTCAGCTTCCCAGGGCATTTAGCCCCTCTGCCTCCTCCAAAGAGTGATGCATATTGCTAACTCACTCTACCTTTTCTTTCCTGCTATCTCCTCTGTCTTGAATCCCCTCCTCACATTCTCACTTTATTACTTCACATTCCTTCAAGAGCTGCTCTAAGCCATGCCTGGCAATGCAGGTCTGCATTCCTTACTGCTTAGGAGGCTGACTGCTTAGGAGGCTGAAGCACGCCAAGTTCAAGGCCTCTTGAGCTACAGAATGAGTTCATCCCTCCTGGGCAAGAACACTTGCCTAGCATGCACGAAGGAGGCTTGAGGTTTAATCTCTAGTACTGGGGGAGGCATCAGCTCTACCCAACCTCCTCCTAACCCTGACTATTTGAGTCTTCATAGCATAGCATAATACTCTCTAGAGACCCTGGGATCAACCACAGCTGCCTATCAGCTGCACCATCAGTGGAGTAAGATGCAGCACAGAGTACTGTGTTGCCAGTGTTTTGTGGCTCCAGGTATTCAATAACTTACATGTGATGTTTCCTACTTTCTTATAGAATAGACTTTGCATTGATAATTTTGCCCAACTGCAGGCTAACGTAAGTGTTCTGAGCATTTTTAAGGTATCTCAGTCTAAGTTAGTGACCTTCTATAGTTTATGTGTGTCAAATATATTTTCAATGTGTATTTTCAACTTATGGCGGACTCTTGAAGGGTTCAGAACTGTATCCTGAGTCAGGGCATGGCTTTATTGTACTGCTGCTGGGCCCTTAGGAGCAAGCTACCTTTTCTTTACCTGAGGGAGGAAAATAGATTCTGCACAAGTAGAGAAACAACACACCTAAATGCTAGAGCAAACTTCCAAGAAGGCCACACCTCCTGTAAAACAGATAGGTCGACTAGGTCTCTTCCTGTTTAGAAATATGCACTTCTCCATTATTTTGTATCTAGCTGGAGTCATTTCTGAATATTTTGGCCTTTGGTTCTACAACAGAAGTATGTTGCCAGAACTTTACCCCAACTACACCTGAAACAGGCAACTATACCTGAACCCAGATCAAGCGGGCTTGAAGACAGAAAGAAAGCTATCAGATTCTGTTCACACTGGAGCTGGCCAAGACTGAGGGACAAAGTTGTCTTATCAAAAGAGGGTTTAGTTCACAGCCAAGTCAAGTCTAGTCCCGTGGGGGGTGGGGGTCCTTTTCAAGTTGGGAGCAAAGAAGATTAGGCAGGGTAAACTGGTTGTGGTGTTTTTTTCTATGACGTCTGGAGCCTATTGTATTAGATAGACAGAAGGATCGGTTAAAAGAAAGAAAGAAAGGAAGGAAGGAAGGAAGGAAGGAAGGAAGGAAGAAAGAAAAGAAATAAAGAAGAGAAAAGAAAAGAAATGACTCTTCTAAAATGTAGCTTTGCCATCTGAGAGATGTTTGGTAATTACTTGTTGATTTAGCCTCGAGTGTTTTACTCTCCTTCTCCATGGGGGAAATAGAAATCAGTAACTTAACAAGCTGGAAAAGCTCAAAATAGAGGCCACTGGAAAATTGCTGCACTATACTTTTTAAATCAAAGGGAAATTGCATTTAGTGTTTCTTCAGTTGCAAGGACTGATTGCCGCTAATCTTGATTTCAGAGCAAAATAAGAGAGGGAAAATTCCACACAAGACGCCAAGGATAGATGGTGAAGTAAGGGCAAAGCATCAATGTCGCAACAGAGGACTCCCACTAGGTTAGGGTTCATTAACTTTTTTTGCTTCATGAATCTTTTTGTGGTCTAAGGAAGCCTGGGTTTACATCCTCTCAGAACAATGATTTTAAATATATATTGGTTCTGATATCAAAATTTTAAATGCATAAATTAAAATACAGCAACACAGAAAATAATGAGTTCTATTTAGTGATTATTAAAATACTAAAATTAAAAATGCAATATACATTTGCTTAATTTTTACATGTTAAAAACTACACATATTACCACAATTTCTAAGAAATGACATTTGTTTTTTTGTTTTTCAAAAGATCCACAACATTTGAGACGTGAGATGCAAGTACCTGGTACTTCCACTGGTGACAAATTCACCACTACTGTCTTCTCTTAGGATAAGTCTTTGCTACTATATTATATTTGAAATCATAGTATCTAAGCAGCCACTAAATGTAACTATTTCCTGTGTCTATGTACTTAATGCATTTAAAATCATTACTCGAAGAAGGGAGTAAAAATGGTTTACTTTATTTAAAGCCATGTTGATATTATGCACTTTATCACCTATATTTGGAAAAAAGGAAATGCTACATTTAGAATAAGTGTTAATACAAAATAAAGATGTGATATCTCCCTATTCAAGTTCATAGAACCTTTGAGTTCTACCTACATATCCCTGGACAGGTTGGGGTTATAGAATCAAGTTAAGAAAGAATTATAAGGACTGGAGAGATGGCTCAGTGGTTACAACCAGTGATTGTTCATCCAGAGGACCTGGGTTCCAATCATAATTGTTTGTAACTCAAGTTCCAGAAGATCTGACCCCTTCTTCTGGGAACCAGGTGTGTGAGTTATACACATAGACACACACACACACACACACACACACACACACACACACACACAAATTAATTTTAAAAAGTTATAAGTTCAAGGCTTGCCTGGACAACTTATCTCACTAGGTGCTTGAATATCATGTAAAATACACCACGAAGATAGAGTGTTACAACCTCTTTATATTGTCACCAGTGAAGGCAACACATTACAAAGAAAACGATTTATGCTCTTAGACAAGGTGTTCACAGTTGCTAATAGATGCTGCTGCTCTTTGATACCCACAGCTCCTGGACACAAACCCCAGGTCAACTAGAAAGGTGCAAAAGTCCAGAGCTCACATTACTACAGGGTTACCCTTGGGCCTTCAGGAGCACACAGGTCTTTTTTTACTAAGGTTGTCAGGTTCTCTCCTGCAACTCTGTCCTGTGTATTTGTCTCTTCCTACAATATTCTCTCCGACGTGCAGATACCCTATAGGAACAAGCTAGATAGCAGTTTGCATAGCTAGATTGGAGATGGGGTCTAACAGTCAACACGAGGCACAGCTCTGCTCCGTTAAGAAAAAAAATACCAAGCAAAACTTACAGGCGAAGGCTACAGGTTGGGTGAGTGTGTGGGGGTAGTGACGGTAGCAGACAGTGGGGAATGAGGGGAGGAAATGATTAAATCACAGTTTATTTGGAAATGTTACAATGTTATCGAACACCTTTTATGTTCATTTAAAAAAGTTATTCTATGCCAGTTTAAAAAAAAAAAAAAAAACAGTAAAAAGTAAACCGTACAGGAAAGATTTCTGACCTACCTACTTAACTAATTTCATTCCCCAGTCACTGCGAGTTTGAGGTGAACGCCTCACACACATTAGCACTCTCTATACATATTGTCACGCTCTTGAGCAACCCCACATTGTTTAAGAGTATCCAGTTGCAGTATCCAGTAGAGTATACTGGATAGCTCTGTGTTGGGAGTGGACTAAGACGGTCTCCCCTTTCGTGTGCCCAGGAGCCACCCCGGCTGAGGCGCACTTTGACTTCTCTGTTCTTTCTGTTCAATCTGCTTGCTGCTTGTGTGCGAATCCTCTTCATTTCCCAACTACCCTTTCCCCACGCATTAAAGAGTAATGATAATTAAGTTATTTCATCTCACTGTAACAAACCTGCCCGATACGTTATTTTGGGAGTCTGGGAAGGCATCTAGAGGCTGAAATTTAACATCTGCAAAGTCTAGGAGGATCGCTAAGAGAGATCTGGTGACTGTGTAAAGACCCCCCTAGGGATGCTCTGGGGTGGAGGGGACTGTCCCTGGGTTCCAGCTAAAGCGGCTGGAGGAGCCAAACAGGCTCCTCAGTACCGTCTCACTGCCACTGCCCCGCTTAAAGTTCCCGGGTCACCCAAAGAGTTTCCTTAGTGGCTGCTACCGAGTGGCCACATCTCTGTGTTCTCTGTGGCCTGCCCGGTGGCTCCCTTGTTCCTGCCCACTCTCGCTCCCTTAAGTCAACGCACCTTCTGTCCAGGAGCTGGGAGCCCGCGCTGTCACTGTGGCAGTCGCTGTGGCTGTCGGCTGTCCGTGTGCGCCCTCGCCTGGACACAGAGCCTCGGCCACAGCCTTTATAGGACACCGCCCTTTGTCTGGCGGTAGGAGGGGGGCTTTCCTCCAAGGACACCTGCCAGTCCCTCCCCGTTTTGCCCCAGCAGCCCTCTCATGAGCAGCAGTCAAGGAGCAAGGGAGGAAGGAGGACCCCTCTTTGTCCGAGGCTTTAAGGGGGGGTGGCGCGGAGGTGCTGTTTTCAACCTCCTCTTACAGACAAGCACCCAAAAGCTTCTAACTCTAGCTAACTCACTGGGTGCTTCTTTCAGATCCCAACGCAGGTGTAGTCTGATCCCAATGCCCTGCTCCAGACCCTCTAAATCAGTTTGGGGGTGCGGCTTTAACCTGCAGTTTTACCAAATACCCCCAAGAAATGAAGACACACAACCAAGTTTAAAAGCACCACACTGGACAGACTGATGGATTTATGAGTCTGGTCTAGTTTTTTTTTTTCTGTTGGTTAACACATGGCATGGTTATTTTAGGGACTCTGCCCTTGCCTTCTTCCTCTGTCCTGGGTCTCCCAGGACGATCTGAGAAAACAAAAGTCAAACCTTTGTCGCTTCTTAGATCTAAACTCGCCAGTGTTCTTCCATTTCACTCAAAGTTAAGCATTCGTCTGTGTGGTGGCACACTTCTGCAATCCCAATGCAAGAGGATGGGACACCTAAGGCCACCCTGGTCTATGTAGTGAGAGATACCTGGTCTGTCTGAACAGCAGACAAAAACAAACAAACAAGCAGACCAAAAAAAAAAAAAAAAAAACCCCAAAAACAAAAACAAACAAACAAAAAACCACACACAGAGAGAAAGAAAGTGAGCTGCAGTCTGTAATTGGCCCTTGAGATCTAGTCATCTCTTTAATCTGTCCCTTCTTTCCCTGGGGTTCACTCCACTCCAGAGACTCTGGTTTCTCCTTTCAGGAGCACACCAGACATCCTCCTGCCTCCTAGCTTTTGCACAGTTCCCTCTGCTTCTCACAGGCTGTCCCCAGGAGTCCTCCCTCCCCTTCCTTAGCTGTGCATCAGGTCCGTTTTGGAAGTTTAGGCCCTGCTCAGGTGCTGTTCTGGTGTGGTGAGGATAACTCCAAACAAAACCAGACACAACCCCTGGCCGCAAAGGCACTGCCAATCTCTAGTCTTTACTCAGGAGCCACCTTCTCTGAACAGCTTTAAATGTTTAAAACTTATCTTTACACCACGTGTATTGCCTTGGGTGCAGCAAGGTGAATGTAGAGGGAGGGGTCAGAGAACAACTTGAGGAGGAAGTTCTTTCCTTCCACTCAGTGGCTCTCAGGGATCACATTCAGGGCTTCAGATTTGGCAGCGAGTGTCTTTCCCCACTGAGCTGTCTCATCAAGTCCATCACCTACGAGCTTACTATCATTCTCAGAGTGTGCCCCCCACATCCCACATTCACAGGCACAAGCCTGCACCTCATCCTTTGCTTTATTCTCAGTGCTTTGCCCCACTCAGTAATATCTCCTTACTTATCTTGTCTTATATCTCTTCTATTCCCTCCTTACCACATTGGATAGATGTCCATCAAATGCTGCTTGATTAGTATATGATTAAACAATTAGTCTCTTGGTATTTCTCTCTCTGAAGGTCCCAGGATTGGAGATAATAAATTCATAAATGCATCGCACCTTCGTGAATAAGAGCCAATGACTCTGGGGTTGTAATCACCCAGGTTGCAATTTCTTGTCTATTCCCTTGTATGATGCCAGACAAATTACTAAATGTTTCTCTGCTCCAGTTTCCGTATTTGTAAAATGGGTGCAATGCTGGGGCTGTGGGAGTCAAATAAGAAGAAAAAGCAGGTAAGGTATTTAAGATCACAAGCAGCACACAGTAGAGTATTAATTGATTTTTGTTGTAGTTGGTTATGTTATCGTTACAATTGAATTCTAGTTCCCTTCTCTGTGAGAGGATTACATAAACCTTTCCATTGTCCTGTGACCAGCAGCTCTGTATAGGTGGAAAGAATATACTTTGTCTCAGTGTCAGGCTTGCATCAGCCAAGGGAATGTGGACAGATATGACACAGATCATGGAGCAGAAGCTCTAGCAGGATGACTGCAGGCTGAAGCAGTAATGAGAGAGTTGTTGTTGGCTGCTCCTGTAGCCTGGGTTCCAGGCAGCAACTCCAAAACCAAACGTAGCCTTAATGCAGCAGGAGAGAGATCAGCGTCCTGAGATCTCAGGCTGCTTGTCACACCTAGGACTCCCTACCTACCCTACACCCATGTAAAACCATCATTTTATTACAAATAGAAAAGATACTACCTCAACTACAAAGCTCAGGTATGTGGGTAGAGCCAGAAAAGTGAAAAGCACATGACAAACAGACTAAATACAAGATTGACAGTCCTGGGTAGCAGAGAACATAAAGTCTAGTTATGACAAGAGGTAAAAGACTCTGGCTAGATGATCAGCCATTACTTGTGGAAGGGATGGTATTTAAACAAGGCCTTGAAGCAAGGCTCCCACTGGCAACTGAGGGAAAAAATGGAGAATCCTAATTCCTTCCTCTCTATTTTCTTCCTACCTGCAATTCCACTTATGTCAGTGAAGGGCCTTGGTATTATGTGAACTGCAGGTCCACATGGACTTGAAAAGAGCCCTGAACTAACACTGAAAATGGGCTCAGGACCTCTTGTAAAGTAATCAGGGTTCCCAAATGCCCAGACTGTTGCCTAGAAGGTGGAGAATGGGTACAGGGTAGGCAACAGAGGAGGCCAGGAGCAGGGCTTCTGAAGTGCAATGCCTAGGACAGGTCCCTGGGTGCCTGGACTCTTGGTGGAGAGGGTAGAGGACAGAAAGAGAAGAGTGTGCTGCAAAAAATGGGGACAGTAACTGCAGCTGGGGGCTCCAAGACTCACTCTGGCTGTAGCTTGAGGATGCAGTGGAGGAAGAGTAAGAAGAGCTGGCCCACTTGTACACAGAGACACAACCTAGTATTTGCAGGAAACACCTGTGGCCTGCTCCTCCTTCTGCGCCCTTGCTCTGTGCTGTGGGAGAGACATTGTTCCTATGGTGCCCATGCTTTCCCCACACTGTGTGATTATATTACAACACTGACAGGCCACGCAAAAGCTTATTATCCTTCACCATAGCCCCAAACCGTGAGGGGATAGATTTTCTCCATGGCCTGTTTTTCATTTGTGAAAAAGAATTGTAGCAACTGGATGGCAAGATCCGATGGCTGATGCCAAGTGAAAGAGGCTGTAAAATAAACTCTGTGCCAGTGGACAAGGAGCTCACACAAAGGACAAAGACTCAGAGCATAAGTGTGTTAGTACACTGGAAGAGGGTTGGCTTTTGTTCTTGAACCTTCTTAAATGTTACTGTTGGCTTTATGCTTTTGGAAGCAGTTTGGGTACATCGGTTTTCTTGCAGTGGCTCTTCAGAGTGATGGGTCGGCTCCCATCCCATTCTCCCAGGGTAGAGCATTTAGAGGCTAGGTCCTGCAGTGGAAGAGGTTGGAGTAGGAATTTACATAATCCGATTACTGGGGGATTAGGTTTAGGCAGCTAAACGCCTCTATGTGCTTGAGCTAAAATGCTTACTATTCATGGCTCTCACTGCCCCCTGGAGAGACTGCACCTGCAGAGGTTCAGGGCAGGGCCTGGGGGGGGGGATGGGCAGGTCCCTAGGACAGCCTCCCTGGTCCTGCTGTTCTAATTGATCTGTCTTCTAGTCCCCTATGCAGGGTTGTTAGTTCCAGGAAAAAAGGTCTTTGGAGGTTCTGCCAGATCAGGTGGGTATGGGTGGCCAAAGTCATTTTGACTAGAGGTTAAGCATCAGTCTTAACCAGTCTTAACCTTTACTATCCAACCTCCCATGCTAAACCCATCTCTCAATCCTTAATTCTTGCTCTCCAGGCATCAGTGTGCCATACTTCTCTGCATCCAGTCAGTTATTCAGCCCTGTTCCCAACCACACATTGTGCATGTATCCCCTCTTTATTTGTCATATGGATTGGTTGCTTCTTGATCTGTAACAGAATTTACAAGTAGATCCTGCTAGGCATATATTTTTTTCCTTTAGGTATTCTAGCTCTTAAGTAAGTTTTGGCAGATTGCCATATAAATTTTTGACCTAGGATTCATCAATAGGATTAAGTCTTTGTTTGATTTTAATTTTTTGAGAAAGGGTCTTGCTATGATGCCCAGGCAGGTGATCATCTTGTTTCTGTCATAGATATGTGCAATGACATCTGGCTCCTATTAGCTTCTGAAGTTGTTTGGTGTTCTTTTTCTCTCTCTTTTAGAAAGTGCTTTCTTTCTTTCTTTTAAGTGTATTGTGTTATTATTGGCAATGGCTTACTATTAGTTTCTAATGTTATTGTGGTGTGCTCAAAGATGGACATAGTAATTTTTTTTTTTGCTCTGATAAAATTTTGTGAAATTTTCATTTTGGAACAAATGAATGTATGTATGTATGTATGTATGTATGTATGTATGCTTCATAGTCACTATAAGAGGAGACATACTCAAACTTTGAAAGGTAACACATTTTTATATACATTCATTAGGTCAATGCTGTGTATTCTTGGAAGGTTTAACCTAGCAGATCTGTGAAAACTTATCTGTCTTGTGTTTGGACGAGTGTTGCTTTTGTTTTTCCAGAAGGGCTTTGGTAGCTACCCCTGGCTGGGAAGTCACTATGTAGACAAGGCTGGCCTCTCAACCTGTCATTTCTCTGAAGTCCAGAGAGGTTTGCTTGAGGTTTTTAAGTCTTTTAATGAACTTTTTTTTTTTTTATTTTTTTTAGACAGGGTTTCTCTGGCTGGTCTCAAACTCACAGAGATCTGCCTGTCTCTGCCTCCCAACTGTGGGATTAAAGGCACATATCGCCCAGCTTTTAGGGTTCAAAAAATGCATAGGAGTTCAGATGATTTAGAGAAATGTACCTGCACACATAAATGATGACCCTCTTTATCAAGCTTTCTCTTATAAATTATATTTGGTTTTATATTAAGGTTATAACTCTTGTTTTTAAGTTTTTATTTCCAAATTAAACCATGTCTTT